GTTCTTAAAAATTGCCATTACAATTCACAACTGTTGCATTTTCCGCTACAACATCAGTGGTTACCTCTAGCCCAGCTCCAACCACAGCCCTCACAACAACTACAAAGGCCACTACCACTATCACCACCACAGTTGTTACAGGTATTGTTTTATCAACAAAAAGGGGGTAAGAAGGTACAATGAACTGTCCTATGATCCATCAAAAAGTATATTTTACATTATGGTTCACCTTTTGTCAGATGTTTTAAACACCGTGTGTCATGATCTGCGAACTTGGTTGTACACAATAACAATTACCTGTTAATGTGAGACCTTGTACAGAAAGAATCAAAATGGGTGACTACTTCTCAAATATTGCTCTTTTTAAATTCAACCAGCCACTTGACATTTCAAAGCTGTAGTAACAACATAGTTGAAAAGGATATGAGGATTTTTGAGATTGACTGCTTTACCTACCTTTTTCTGGAATGTATTTTTTACTCTACATCACAACAAAAATGAAATCAATAGCTTTGCATTTTTGTCTTCTTTTCTAAATAAACAGGTTTTGATGTGCAAATGTCAGTAAGATTGGACAAGGACTACACAGACGCATTAAGTAATTCAGGAAGTGACACATACAAGAATCTCAAATCAAGCATTGAAACAGTGGTAAGACATTGTTAACAATATATCCAGTTCTAACCAATTCTAACTCCTATTTTCAGTTCTTTGCGTTCTAATGTAGTTAACCGTATCTCTCCACAGGTGGAGGAACAATATAAGGGAATCACAGGGTTTCTCAATGTTTTTGTGAATGCATTCAGGTATGGTAATTCTGGCATTGAAAACATTTGGATGCAGAAAGCTGTACACATTTCACATCACCACTTTGCTTTTGTTTGTTATTACAGAGAAGGAAGTGTAATTACAGACTTTGTTGTTCAGACAACACAAGTTAAAACGGATGAATTTGCCAAAGCAAATCAAGCCCTCCCTGAAGCAATGAAGCCTATTGCCCCTGTTTTGGGCTCAGTTACAGCACTTTACAACAGTAAGTTCAAAAAGGCTTTATTACTTTTTGTTTAACTTAATTAAATTCTTAACTGTCCTCTCTTTTTTTTCTCCAAAGGTCCAACTCCAATCAGCCCTCCTCCTGACATCCTTTATACTGGTAACACTATGACGCTGACGTGTGGCCCTCCTGAGGGCCTTGCTATAGGAACAATTTCTCGATCTGGCTGGAAATTTAATGGACGGGAAATAAAAAATAACACAAGGATTAAAATGACTATTTCTGGCAAACAATCTTTGCTTACAATTCAGAATGTCGTCCTTGCTGATATTGGTAAGTCAAAGCTACCTGAATTTGTTGTGTGTTGTTTGTTGTTTGTTGTGGTTTGTTGTTATTACTTTTACTATAATTATTACTTTTATGGCTAAAAATTATTTCCCGTGGGCATCAAAAATTTAAAATAGAAAGAACCCAAGCAAGTTTTGGTTTTTCAGTTATTTTCGGTTGTACTCGTTCTGCACTGTGCGCATGTGCAATCTAATCTGAAGCGTGCTCTTATTTTTGGGGAGCATGCAGGGAATGTTTTGAAACCATTGTTGCAATAAAAAGATGCAGCCTGTAGCCTGCTGTAGCCTGTTATGAAGTGCACATAGTTTGCCTACAGTGGGTTTTATTGTTATAAACCCCAGGGATTTTGTTGTTTTCTATTTTATTTGATTACCCACTTTTAATTAACATGCCAGACGTTACACAGAATCATCTGGGATGTCATCCTTAGAAACTGTTTGGAAAAGGGCAGGCACTTCATCACAGGTAATTGGCTGAACCCTCTATCTATCACTATTAAGCGCTAACTTCAACCAGTCAGATCAGCGAACTAGAAAGCCAGTTGGGAAAAGAGTCAAAACTTATTTTCCATTGAGAAAAGCCTTCAGTGCTGTTCTTTGGTCTGCTTTCAATGAAGAAATGCTCTCCAGTTCTGATAGAACAGATGCTAGTAGCATCTACGCTAGCCTTTTTAGCAGCTGTTTTAAAATGAACAGTCATTCCTCGTTGCGTCACACAGTAGTTCCTCAGAGGATGCTGATTGGTCAAAATCTCAAACATGATGGATTCACACGATTTTGGTATCTGATGAATCCAGCTGCCTCACAGTTATTTTGACCAATTTTTTTGTTTGCCAGATTGAATGGAATACGGAATGATCAAATGACACTGCACAGATATATTGTATTTAGGGTTGATTTTTATTGTTGGATTATTGTGAAAAGCTTAAACTTTCTTTTCCTGTGTTAGAGTAAAATGAAAAAAATTAAATTGATTTTGAAGCTGACAGAATTCTCTACTTGCTTAGCCATCATATTCATATTACAAATCAGAGCCCATATCACTCACTGCTAATGCATCTTACATTAAATATTTTATGGATTATTGACAATTTTCTGTTTTTCTTTATTTTACAGTGGTAGCTATGTAATTATTAATACTTTTGTTAATCACAGGAAACTATGAATGTACTCTGGAGGGCCAAGTAATTACATTCTCCCAAAAAGGAAGAGTACTGGAAGCTAAAATCCAACCAGCTCCCATTGTGCAACTACAGAGTAAAGTGAATGTTAACTGCCAAGAGGTCAAGCAACAACCCCTTGATTGCTGCGTGCAGTCACTCTATAAAGTGAAGTGGTATCAAGGCCCAACTGTTTTAGAAATAGGTATGTATGAAGTCTTTGTTAAAAACTCCTCACTGTCATCATGTTGAAAAGCTGGACACAGCTATTAACAGTTTATCTTATTAACAAGCTGTTAAATGTTTACAGAAACTATTTCCGAATCAGGAATCTACTGCATCAAGCATAAATACCCGATAAGCTGTGACGGATTAACTCCAATTAGTTTTGAATGTAAGGTAGATCAACCAACTGGTTATAAGATGACGACAGCAATGAACATTTTCAGAGACAGTAAGAGCAACCTTTAAAACCTTTGGTTTTTTTGTTGCCGTTTTTACTACCTCTTTCTCTAACACTAACTGATTATTTGTTATTATTTAACTCTTAAGATATTGACTGTAGAGATAGCCAGTATGGGGTTGGACAACAAGATGACACTTCCACCATTGGTTGTGGTAAAGGTCAAGAGGGGAGCAAGACTGCAGTCTGTCAGGAAAAAAAATGGAAACTTATAGAGGACACCTGCATCTTATCACAAATCAAGGAATTACTCATTGTGTCACAGGTAGGTGATCTACTGGGCATAACATATCATCCCTATTAGAAATCTCTGAAACATACAGTGTACCGTACAGGTCACAAATATTAGCTATTAACACCAAATCAGATATTCAAAATTGTGATTTTGTGAATGCTAACATATGCGTTAGTCCTCTCTCTTTCTTATTTGCAAAAAACAGTGTGCAAAACATTAAGGTACTGTAGCAGCTTCCTTTTTAGCCAGAGCTGACTCTTTTTCATTGTTTAAAATTACAAGGGCACCAGCGAAAAATCATATCAACTGTCACTAATGTAAATTTTATGAGTGAACCAAAATTAAATTTGTCTATTTATGGTGAGTTCACACTATGTGATTTTAGCCCTAATTTTCCACTCTGCGACTTTTTGGTGATATCGTCGACAAATGCCCCCAGATCAGAGGCTAATCGACTCATCAACACCAGAAAAATATCTAGCAAGCTAAATCCTACTTTTACTGAATTAAAGGATCTGAATACTTTTTCCACCTCTGCCAGATTATACAAAAGCAAACCAATAATGCAGTATAATCATATGTAAAGATGTGCCTTACAAATACTTATTTTCATAAATGATGTGCCTTCTGACTAGGAACACCTTTTGCTAACTAGCTATCTAGTAAACTAGTAAAATAGCCCAGGCCTAACAACGCCTATTTGTCACGAATAGTTTGCAATTTCATACTAATAAAATGTGGTATCATAAGTTTTTGTGTTTTCACTATGTTTTTTTTTCAGGATTTGGAAAAGGAGCAAGTGCCAGCATTTGTGGGGAATCTGAGTAAAACTGTTGTGGGAGAAAAAACTCAAGTCTCAGGTTCATCTGCAACTATATCAGCTATTGTTGGGATCCTAAACACCATTGCAAATGTGTCCACTACCATTGATAAACCTGTCATGGAGGTAGGTTTAACCCTCTGCTCTGTAGCCTCTTGGTAAAGGTTATCTGCATTATGTCCACAAATGTACTTATTAACTTTCTGGAGAGGTTTTACCCACACAATGAAATGTCTTTTAATCTGCAGGATGTACTTCAAACAGTTGATGTCATCATTGGCGATGATGCAAGAGAGTCCTGGGCAACTCTGAATGCAAACGAAACCCGCAATGCAAGCTCAGAATTACTGGGTTCACTGGAGACTCTCTCTAATGGGTTAGTGGGGGAGTTTGTCATTGAAACTGAACGGATCCTGCTCAACAGAACCAGGTTTAACAATTCCTTCATGGCAAATCTGAACTCCAGCATCATTTTAGACATTCCACATACCGACATTACCAACACCTCTATCACCACAATCACCTTTTCCACCCTTAACAATGTTATGCCAGCACGGAATGCCAGCTTTAACGTGAGCCTCTTCGATGCAAACAGCAATGAAACAGTCAGTGATAACACCATCAATGCTGCTGTAGTGTTAATCCGAATTAATGCAACAATTCAGAATGTCACTCTGACCTACAACAAGCGAAATAAGTCCCTGTCACTAAACCCTCAGTGCGTCTTCTGGAACTTTACAATCTTTGATAATCGGGGCGCTTGGGATGATAAGGGGTGTAAATTTGTTTCGGACGTTAACGATATGGTAACCTGTAACTGTAACCATCTCACCTCCTTCTCAATTCTGATGGCAACGGACATCCCTCCAGAGCTGAAAGATGTCTTGGATATAATAACTTATGTTGGAGTTGGGATATCTCTGGCAAGCTTAGTTATATGTCTTATTATTGAAGGATATGTTTGGAAAGCCATTACCAGAAATAGCACTGCTTTCATGCGTCATGTTTCCATCATTAACACTGCCCTGTCTCTGTTGATCGCTGACATCTGTTTCATCATTGCTGCCTCTATTGCCAAGAACTCCCTTGAAAATCCAGGAGAAGACTACAATGTTCCAGTTGGACCATGCAGCACAGCAACATTTTTTATGCACTTTTTCTACCTTGCTCTGTTCTTTTGGATGCTTGTGTCAGGCCTTCTGCTCTTTTACCGGACAGTCATGGTCTTCTCCCACATGTCCAAGTCAACCATGTTGGCCATTGGCTTTAGTTTAGGCTATGGGGGCCCTCTGATTATAGCTGTAATTACTGTTGCCGTCACAGCACCGGGAAATGGATACATCAGGAAAGACTATGCTTGTTGGCTCAACTGGATGGAAACAAAGGCTCTGCTGGCCATGGTGATACCTGCCTTGACCATAGTTTTTATCAACATTTTAATTGTAATTGTGGTCCTGTTCAAAATGCTAAGAAGAGGTGTGGGAGACGCCGCCCAAACAGATGAGAAGCATACGCTGTGGGTCATTCTAAGGTGTGTGGTCATTTTGACTCCTTTATTTGGACTGACCTGGTCTTTAGGAGTTGGAACCATGGTATCGTCAACAAATAAAGGACTCCACATTGCCTTTGCATTCTTCAATTCACTACAGGTATTTGCATCCATTGAAATACAAGGTTTTAATTTTCATGCTTACAAGGCAGTATTTTTGTATAATAAAACATTTTAGGTACTTTCCTTCCGATGATAAAGAATGCTTGCCATCTGTTTTTTCTTCAGGGTTTCTTCATTTTAGTGTTTGGGACACTATTCGATTCAAAGGTAGGTTGACTTAAAAAAATATATGTTAGTTTGGGAAATACACTTTTTTTTTACTTTGTTGATGAAAGTTGGAGTAGATTAATACCACTCTGACAATAGTGGAAAAAACTTTTTCGTTTCAAGTAAAAATACAAAAGTATTATCAGCAAAATGTATTCAAAGCAACACTATGTAAGATTTAATATTTGTTGGCACCCTCAGTTGCAATACCACTGTATATGGACAGCTGTAGACGTGCATTTTTTACAATAATGTTACTTATTATCAAAAACTAGCTAACTAACTAACTAGTCAACAACTTTTCTAACACAGCCAAACATCAAGCAAGAGCAACTACACATAGCATAGCAAGCCAGCTAATATTACTTATTTGTCCAACAGCAGGAAGACCTCACTAATGACTAAAAGCCAGTCTGAGATTTACTCTTGCCTGGTGGCCTCTTGCTCGATTACTCTCTCATTATCTCTTACATGATGTTGCTTTAGTTTCAGAATAAAAAAATAAAATAAAAATGCTCGATTATTATACATATTTAATAAGAGCAGCTTTTTACTGTCATAGTTTGTTGAGGTGGAGCTTATTTTTTTATTACTCTAGACACTGTTGGGTGGTTTGACTATCAATCTATATTCTAATGCTAATTAGTAGTAATCATAGCTGTCAAATAAATGTAGTGGTACTGTAAAAAGTAGTTTACTTAAGTCAATGTACTACTTTCCACTGCTGCCATTCCTAATGTCTATGCCAACCTCAGCTGATTGTCTTCTGTCTAGCACAAAGAATCAGCTAGCCTGGCTCTGTCCAAAGTTCAACAGTCCCCCTACCAGCACCTGTAACACTTACTGACAAGTTGTGGCTTATCTGGTTTATCTAATCTATACAGAAACGAAAAGTTTTGTGGGGATTTGTGTAGTGTAACCATTTTGTTGCCGTTAAACAAGATACAATATGTTAAGTAGTAGTTTTCTTCTTGGTTTTAGTTTCATATTTAGCACACAGATATGAGAGTTGTATCAATGTTCTCATTTAACTCAAGAAGAAAGTGAATAAGAAATATTTCCCAAAATGTCAAACTGCTCTTTTAAAGTGCCAATTTTGCTAAATATTTTGCAAATTGCAGTAAATTTTATTGTGCTTGTAGATCCGTGCTCTTCTCTCAAAGAAAATACCTGGGCCTACATCAAGCACAGGCTCTAATCCAACGAGAGTAAGTAATTTGTTTTTAATATAACAATACTATTGCATAATGGCTTTCTTAGTTAAAATATCGTACCTGTAGTTGAATCTACAGACCTGCCAAATGTTTAAGTAATTATTACATTAAATCTGCGAATGTTTGTCTTGCTATCACTTATAGTTATACATGTTTATTTCTTTCTACTATAGAGTACAAGTGGAGGTGTTTCCTCTTTCAGTGGACTAAATTTGATAAGTCGACTGCGTGGAAGAAGATGTAAGTTGTAGTTTTAAATTTAGCAGCTTTTCGACTTACTTGAATCAACTTGTCTAAGTAACCATTCATTTGTCTTTCAGATATCTATCGTGTGTCAGAAGCGACAAACTCAAGCAGCAATGGTGCATCGGAGTCATTCATGAATATATAAATCAACACAATAATATGTACACATAAAATTGATTTCATTACTGATTCAAAAGACCAGACAGTTATTGTAAGATCTTTCAGTAAATAATCTGAACCTTTCTTTTGAATGACAAGTTTATTTTTACTGGGATAATATTGTAAACACTGGTGCAACAACTGGGCAGTCAATCGGTCTGTCTATAATGAGAATACTTAGGAAAGCAGGAAAGTGTGACATATATAAATTGAGATTTGGAAGCGGTGTAGCTATGCTAAACTCTGGCTCTGCCATCTTTGTTGTATTTCACATATAATTTCAATAGTCTCCATCGCCCACAGAAAGTTGTAATATACTGTTTTATTGTTATTTTAATTGATTATTCAACATCTGGCTGAGTGTTAATGTGCAATGTACTGGTAAAAATTAAATTAAGAAATTAAATTGGAAAAACTGGTAATGCAATACAACTATAATGTTCATTTGCTCACAAATGTGCTAGTTAGGATGAACTTTGCTGTTAAATAATGTGGATGGTTCATTAAATTGTCTGTGAACAGTAGATATATTTTTTCAAATCATTTATTTTTTTTAAGTTATAAATAAAAAGCTATTCAAACTTCAAAGAGTGTTCCTCTCTGCACTGCTACGAGAATGACGGCAGCTGTCTAGCCCTGGCTTTCAACCACAGAGCAATGAACGGTTTTAATACTTTATCTGGTTTTGTTTTGTAACTTGTTAACTGTTCTTGCTTAGCCAAGATGGATAGAGTTGACAGATGCCTATGGCCCAATACGTCAGTGTGGCCAGGCCCACTGATGATCTAGCAACAAAGGATTTAAGTGCGGCACAAGAGCCTACCTTTTCCTGCGATCCCTGGTTAGTGCACCACTAACGGGATTCAACAAGCATCTGCCAGCAGACTTAATGTGTAATAATGTCATTAACTTTGCAAGGACAATAGAAGCAAAAGCCTTCCCTCCTCCACCCTGCATCAGCAGACACTGCACAGCAAAGCGTTTGGACACCGGGAAATAATGTTTCCCAGCCTGGCTCACAGGATTGCCAGCTGATCACCATAGCACAGTGGCAACTACCCCATCCATGCATCCATGCCACTGTGATTTTCATAGCACCTACAATGATGATTTTGTTAAGTGAATAAATTCAGTACTCAGGCATTGAAGTGCTTTCCCCCATTTACAGGATAGCAAATCCAAAAGAAGCAGACTCCAGCCAAGAAATATCTTTAGGACAACACAAACAAACCCTCCAAGCTCTTCCTAATAGCAATCAGGCAATGGTAAATCAAATCCCTCCATTAAGCTAAGAAAATTCACATGTTCAATTCAAATTTATTGAGTGCCAAATCATCTTAACCCTTGTATGGTATTTGGGTCAAATATATCTGTTTCAGATTTTAGTATGCATTTTGTTTACCTGAAACTCAATGGCCTTAGCTTATTTTCTGTGATAAACTTCTAAAAACAAAAAAAATATTTAAGCACACATGCTACTATACCCCACACATTAAAATCCTTCATATGGTCTTACACAGAGACACACAGAAACATGCCCACACACAGAATGTTACATTATTATAATCTAAGCACAGAAAAGCTGTTTGCTCTCACTTTCCCACACTCTCTACCCTGTGTCCACCTGCAAACCATAACATTGTAAACATAATTTTCTCGCACTACATGCCTCGCACCTGCACATCAAGAGGGTGGGACAAAATGGATAAATACCTCTGCATCACAGTACAGAATCTTACACCCTCAGTATGACCAAAAGATTTAGCTGTCAGAGGGCTTTAGAGGTCATATTTGAAGAGAGTCAGGCACAGAGCGATGTGGAAGAGGAAGATGTCTCAGAATATGAGGATAATTTAGATATCAATTATATCAGATATATTTGTCTAAGAATGGACCAGATTAAATGGGTCTTTCAAATTCAGTGAAGAGGCCCACCCCCCCCCGTTCAGCTGCTAACATTATATGAATGGTACCAGGGCCCACACGATTTGCAGTGACTTATGATCAGTCACAAGATATGACTAATCTTGAGGGGAGAGGTGTTTTCGGTGACCAGTGGAAAGAGATGGACATCATGGGCATCTGCATGCCTACTTTGGCTTCTTTATCCTTGCTGGTGTCTACAGGTTGGAACAATCTGGAAAAATAGGATGGAGCTCCCACCCGAGGTTCTAACTGTGGAAAAGAAAGGCCAGTCCATTACTCCAACTTTATGTTCACGGTCAACACTGCCCTGGTATCTTACATACCAAAAAAAGGAAAGAATGTGTCGCTCATGAGCACTCTACACAGGAATGGAACAATAAGTAGCCGGGAGGACCGCAAGCCAGAGGTCATACTTGACTACAGTGCCACCAAGGGAGGGGTAGACAACCATGACAATCTGCTGGCCTGCTACAGCTGTCAAACGTGATCTTTTACAACATGCTGGATGTCTCAGGCTATAATGCATTTACAATCTGGATGCCAATCAACCCAGACTGGAACCAAAAGAAGCTCCAAAGAAGACAACTTTTCCTTGAGGAGCTAGGCAAAGCACTGGTGAAACCGCACATCCAAAGGAAACAACATGTCTCGGGACCCCAGCTTCTCTAGCCACAGTGAGGAGAATGGCAGAGGCTTCAGCTCCAGCAAGTTTCTGAAGTGAGTGCCATGTTGCAGTTGTGTGGTGTATGTGTGTGTGTGTGTGTGTGTGTTTGTGTGTGTTGATTTTACTAACTTGGTCTTTTCATCATTCTCAGGTGAAGCCGGTGGCAAGAGAAAGGCGCGCAGGTGTGTGGCCAATCAAAGACCAAAGACAAAAACCAAAACATAGCAGAAACACTGCAAAAAGTAACATCTGTGGTACAATACTGCCAAAATGCAATCATGTGTTTTTGTAACAGGATGCCTGTCCTTTTTTTTCAAGTACCACCCTGTTGCAAGACTATGCCACAGTTGTGCATCTGCATTTCATAAGTAAAAGTGTTGATTGTTGAAAGTTCCAGTTGATGTATTGAAGAGTTATTTTCAAATAATAATGTTTAATCAATACATTGTCTCACTTCATTTTTCAAAGAGTAAGCATGATTTAAGCTGAATTATCTATATATCACAGTCTTGAGACTGATTGCAAGCAACCATGTAAACATATAAGTATCTCAATTGTGATAAAGAACAAGTATATGTTTAATGGTTTCATAAAGTAAAATTTTATTCAGAATTGTTTTTAAAACCCCCAAATTATGTCCTCGGTCAATTTTCCCCCCGACGGGAATACCAGAGGGTCCCGAAAAGTGAAGACAATACAAGGGTTAAGTTTCATCAGGGCACTTTTCAAATAGAGGCAGTTCTAAAAGACGTTCAAAAATAATTAACATTGTCCCAACAAATTCGCACCATAAAAGCAAGCATGTTAACATTTTGACTTTTGTGCTTTGCCAGGACAGCCCAACAAGCATGTCCCTACCAAGCTTCCACCTCCCAGAGAGTCCTAACGTTTCCTGAGCTAGAACCCTTCGATGGGGGTTTTGCTAATATGCAGGAGAGTTTTTCCTCCTGCTGCTGACCTTCCCATTCTTATCAAATCCAAGGGTACATTATATTATGGTTTTTTGAGAGGAAGGACTTCTTGGCTTTGGGGCAGAAGTAGTCCAAACACTAAATTAGTCCATTTCCAAGTCTCTTTTGTTGAATTTTGTGGTTTGACAAATGATTTTTTTGTTCATCCTGATTCACTATAGAAATTTCACGTCATGCGCTGGTTTTTAAGCCGGCCAATAAACAAAGGGATGAACAGGAAGTTTTTTGGATAACAGCTAGTGCTTTACATGGCAGATTTTTCTCTTGTGTAAGCAAATTGCATCATTCCTGTGGCCCTGGTCCGTCTGGCAATATTGCTAGGCACATTAACATAACTTGTTATTAGCTAAGACAAATTTATGTTGATTTCATCCAACAATAATTATGCAACGATGCAAAGGTGTATAACTAGTAACTGCGTTAGTAAAAGTGCGATGGCAAGGCAGGGGTAAGCCAAGTGTAACCCTAATTCTAAGATGTGGTTGACCGGCTGTCTTGTGGCTTGGCTGCGTGGCGTAGTTCTGGCGTTGTTTGCTTCATTGCGCTGGCTGATTTGATGATTTCTAAACGGCAAGCTAGTTACGTATCATTGGAGCCCAATGGGTCCAAAATAAACAGGAGCTTACTGCAGTTAACTAACGACCGGTTTAAAAGGGTTAGTAATAATTAATATGGAACATCTTTGGAGTTAATGCAAACACCTGCTGGCTACTACAGAACTGTCAGCTGTTTACAAACACAAAAAAGGTCTGTATCATTTAATTGAAAAATAAAATATAAAATATAAACTAAAATATAACATATAACTTAAAGTGCAGGAACATTGGTACAGTAAAACAAAGAACATGAGTTGAAAGGTGCTTGTGCCTCACAGTTAAACCACTTAAGGTGGCAAGTGACATTACATTAGCCCCTGGAGATTCCCTGTGCTCAACAGTTCTGATGCCTGATGTCGGTCTCCCACTCTGAACTGACTGGGGTCTGTCTGTGAGGAAGTTCAGCAGAGCACCCAGTTACAGAGGGAGGGTATCAGTCCGAGGGGCAGGAGCTTTTCAGAGAGCCTGTATGGAATGAATGACTATGAGCTGTAGTCCATGAAAAGCATTCTTACATATGTGTCCTTACCCTCTAAGTGTTTGAGGGCAGTGTGGATGACAGCGTTGACAGCGTTGACAGCATCATCTGTGGAACGATTCTGTCTGTATGCAAACTGTAAGGGGTCCAAGGTGGCCGGGATGGTCTTTTTAATTTGTGTCATGACTATCCTTTCAAAACACCTTATCACAATTGGAGTGAGTGCAACAGGCCGATGGTCATTTAGACAGCTCAGTGTTCTTCTTTGGGAGGGACACGGTGGTGGTGGACTTGAAGCAGGTGGGAACCGAGGCCTGAGCGAGGGACAGGTTGTAGATGTCTGTTAACACCTCTGTCAGCTCTGATGAGCAACCCTGAGTGCATGCCCGGGGATGTTATCTGGGCCAGCTGCCTTCTGTGGGTTTGTTCTTCTGAGAGCGGAGCGCACCTCTACCGGTGACACAGAGAGTGGTGTGTCCAGTATGCCCTCGGTGGCCAGAATCTCTCCCTGTCGGCTGGTGTTGAGGGCCTCGAAACGAGCGTAGAACTTGTTGAGCTCATCCGGTAGTGTGACTCTGCTGGTTGAGGCCCCCAAACTCTTCTTATTGTAGTCTGTGATCTGTTGCAGACCTTGCCATATGCTCTGGGGATCAGCAGTGGTGTAATATCCCTCCAGCTTCAGTCTGTATTGTCTCATGGCCTGTCTGATTAATCTATGCAGGTCATATCTGACCTTTTTGTAGTCCTCAGTGTCATCTGAGACAAATGCAGCAGAGCGAGCACGTAGCATGGACCACACTTCACAGTTAATCCAG